AAATAGAAAAACTTCTGGCCTTTGGGACAGAGAAGGAATAGCATGTCTGTGTATAAATCACCCCTAGTTCATCAAAGGCTGATGTCTTAGTTCCAGCTCTCAGGTCTCAGGTGTTGTAAATGCTGACTTACAGCTCCTTTATCTACTGATAACAAAGGTGAACACAAATGATCTCCAGAAACGGTTCACGTGCACTCCAGGGTTCTTGAAACACCACAGGTGATTGGCAAATGTTTCTCTTGCAGACTCAAACTCAAATAAACAGCTCATTCCCTTCGAGAGCTCCCCACAGCAGTGGTTACGAGCCTGAATGTAGTAAGGCGGGAACAAACCTTCCTCTCCCTTGCCCCATACTTTCTTCCCCTTTCCGATGTCAGATTTTTCTGACACTTAAGGAGTCCAGACTGAGGGAAAGAAGTTATTGATAAAGAACTTCAGGAAGCAACTCCCATCCCCCCACTGCCCCTTGCCCAGGCCACTGCCCTTTCAGAGTTAGTTACAGACTCTCCATTCTACTCATTTCAGGAAGCCTGGGGGCCACATGGCTTTGAATCACTGTCTTGTAAGGCACAGTGAACTTCATTCAGTGGGCTCTGGGGAAATGCTGAGTTGGGTCCTGCCCGCCGAAGATTCTGGTAGGATTCTGATAGGTTTTGATTATAGGGAGCCTGGGTAACTCTGGAACATGTATGAATGGCACATGTAAAAAAGAATTAACAAATTTAGTGAGATATATTTCATATACCACATAATTCACCCATTTAAAGTATACAATTCAATGATTCTTAGTATATTAAATATTTTTAGTATTTATTTATTTTAATGGAAATGCATTTCATTTATTTATTTATTTTATTTTACTTTTGGCTGCGTTGGGCCTTCATTTCTGTGCAAGGGCTTTCTCTAGTTGCGGCAAGCGGGGGCCACTCTTCATCGTGGTACGCGGGCCTCTCACTGTCGCGGCCTCTCTTGTTGAGGAGCACAGGCTCCAGACGTGCAGGCTCAGTAGTTGTGGCTCACGGGCCCAGCTGCTCCGCGGCATGTGGGATCCTCCCAGACCAGGGCTCGAACCCGTGTCCCCTGCACTGGCAGGCAGACTCTCAACCACTGCGCCACCAGGGAAGCCCCCATTCATTTTTATGACTGAATAATGTTCCATTGTATGGATATACATTTCGTTTATCCATTCATCAGTTGATGGACATTTGGGTTGTTTCTACCTTTTGGATATTATGAATAATGCTGCTATGAACATTTGTGCACAAGGTTTTGTGTGGACAGATGTCTTCATTCCTCTTGGGTATATACCTAAGGAGTAGAATTGTTGGGTCATATGGTAACTCCAAGTTTAACCTTTTGAGGAACTGCCAGACTGTTTTCCAAAGTGGCTGCGCCATTTTACATTCACAGTGTATAAGAATTCTAATTTCTCCACATCTTCCTTAACACTTATTATTATGTGCTTTTGATTTTAGCTATCCTAAAATGTATGAAGTGATATTTCACTGTTTTTCTGATTTGCATTTCCATGATGGCTAATGACATTATCTTTTCACGTGCTTATTGGCCATTTGTATGTCTTCTTTGGAGAAATGTCTGTTTAGGTCCTTTGCCCATTTTACAGTTGGGGCTATTTGCCTTTTTATTATTGAGTTGTAGGAATTCTTTACATATTCTAGATGCAGTCTTTTATCAGATATATGATTGCAAAATCTTTCTCCCATCCTTTGCAGTTTTTCACTTTCTTGATGTCCTTTGAGGCATAACAATTTTATGTTTTGCTGATGTCCAATTTATCTGTTTTGTTGTTGTTGTGGCTTGTGACTCACACTTTGGGAAGTGTTGCTAAAATGCACCGTGGGGCTTCCCTGGTGGCGCAGCGGTTGAGAGTTCGCCTGCCGATGCAGGGGACACGGGTTCGTGCCCCGGTCCGGGAAGATCCCACATGTCGTGGAGCGGCTGGGCCCGTGAGCCATGGCCGCTGAGCCTGCGCGTCCGGAGCCTGTGCTCCGCAACGGGAGAGGCCACAACAGTGAGAGGCCCGCGTACCGCAAAAAAATAAAAGAAAATAAAATGCACCTTGAAACTCTGGAAGCTTTGAGACCTCTAAGTTTGGCGGTGGTTTACAGGTTGACTTTGAGGTTGCCTTTGACAGGGATTTCCTCCAAGTTTGGGATTTCATTCCCCACCCACCCAGCCAGCTAGCTCTTGCTCCTTCTCTGGGCTGGAAGCACAGAGCCCCAGGGGACCTTCACCGTGTTTACATTCCCCTCCCTCTCCTGAGGTCTACCACAATAGAGCAGCTGAGATGACAGTTTGGAAATGTCCTTTGTTGTGAAAACTCAATGGCCTTTGTCTCTGGGATTTGAAATTTTCATGCAAATGTTGGCAGCCAAGAGTTCGGAAGGAGGAGGGGAAGGGCCGGGAGAAGAAACCCTGCCATTGATTTCCACAGTGAGTCATTTCAGCTCTGTGTTGTCTTGGTTTTCTCACCCATAAAATGGGGGAAAATATGTCCATCTCCCCAACTCAGTGGGGGTACTTTGAAGATGAGTTAGAATACTTTTGAGATCTTGGATTAAAGACATCCCTGAGGCACAAGGTGTTATTATAATAATAAATGACTTAATAGAAGAGAGGGTGAGGCCGCTAGAGCGAAGGGCGGAAGGAGAGGCTCTGCACTGTGGAGTGGCTTCAGTCTACAGCTCCTGGGCCCAGACAGAGTTTTATTCTTAGGAGTGAGATTGTGTAATTTCTCACAAACTGTTTGGGTTATTTCATTTGAGTTCAGCATTGCTCTGCTGAGTACATCCTATATGACTTCTGCCACAAGGAAAGATTACACTCTTTTTAGGAAATAAGATATACGTTAAAACAAGTAGAAACAGAGCAAGATATTATAATCAAGCTGTGAACTGAATAACAAGTGTCAAAAAGAAAGCAGAAGAGATAATGGTGAAGAGAAGCATTCCCCTATTATGAATCTGAGATCTACCATACACTAGCTGTGTGACTTCGCCTCGTTTTCTTCTTCTGTGACTGCAATTGTTCATATAAAGGACTTGGAATAACGGCCAGCACATAGTAAGCCCTCAAATGTTGGGCCTATCTGGGATCTTGTCAGGCTCGGCTTTTTCTGGTTATGTGATCTTGGCCAAGTGGCTAGATCCTTCTTATCCTCAGTTATCCCATCTGTAAAATGGGGATAAGGATACTTACTAGTGAAACGGAGCAAGACCCTGTGGGGCCCTCCTGGGTACAAATCCTTTCTGTGTTCTCCATTTCTTGTTTGCAGGAAATAGGCTTCATGCAGCGTCCTGGATCTTCCTTGAGTTCCAAAGGGCAGATTGAAAGAGCTGCTGATCAGGGAAGGGAGTGCAGAAACACAGGAGGAGCACTCAAGAAACAATAGTGCAGCCATGGGGCAGGGTCCGGTTTCCAACTCAAGGAACACACATAACAATATTTCTGAGTTCTTCTGCAGGAACTAAGGCCCCCATCCAGGTGGAGGATGGTAACTTCAGGCTGAGCACAAGATTCCTGGAACACTGCCCTGTTACTTCATCACCAACCAATCAGAAGAAAGTCTGCACACAGTGGAAGGTAAGAAAGAATCTGACCCCCTTCCCTGATGATTCTCCCTTTAAAAACTTTCCTGGGCGAGCAGAATCTCTAGCGTTGGTTTTTGCGCAGGAGTGTGCCAGCCTCTTGAATAAAGCAACATTTCCTTTCCAACCAGCATTTGTCTCTGGAGTATTGGCTTTCCAGCGGCAAGCAGATGAACCTGATTTCCGTTAACACTAGCTCACAAGGCAGAGGTGAGGATGGAGGGAGACAATGTTTGTAAATAGCATAGCAGGAGCCCTACAAATGGTAAGCATTCACTAAATTAGTTATTATCACTGTCAGTAACGCGATTACCTGCCCTGGCTGAGGGTTGCTGCTCACCGATGGCTTAGCTAAATCAGAGGCCTTCTTTGGAAGCTGGAATTTGAGATGGGCAGGAAGGAATTGATAGGATTCGGGTGATCAGAGAAGAAAGCAGGATTAAAGAACGGCAGAAGCCTGAGGCTGAACTGTCTCTGGAAGGCAGGAGGAGACTGGGGCTTCTCACTTTCCGCACCCCCCAGTCCGGAGCCTGGCGGGCTGTATCTGGCAGAGCCCGTGGCTGCTGTTTACCTCCGACCCCCTCCACCCCGCACCCGCCTTCGCAATCTCTTTCACCTTCGCAGTCGGCGAGGGCAGTGCTCTGCTAGGTTGGAGGAGGCTCTCCCTCCCTGAGGAATGTGCGACCCTCCCTCTCTGAGGAATGTGCGTCTAGCTTCCCGGGCCGATCCGGCCCAGCGCCTACCACTTTCCCCCGCCGCGGGTAGCCAGGGGAGCCCCGCTGTCTTCACCCCACCCTCCGCCAGGATCCAGTTTCAAAGTCACCTGAAAGCCATTTCCTTCCGCGCACGCCCCTCCCCTCCCTGTAAATCACCTAGGGCTTGCATTTGCCTGGAGTAACTTTTTTTCTTTTCCTTTTTGGCTTTTTTTTTTTTTTTTTTTT